TATTGAGATAAAATGATTTTTTTGAAGAAATTTACCAGAAATTATTTCATTACTCATTATGGAAAGGCAAATACTCTCTCAATCACAACTTCATACGCCTAAGTGATAATGGGAAGTAAAAGAAAAGCCTCAAAATTGACAAGACAAATTCAGTTAAAAGGGCCAAGCAATTCTATCATTAATAATATTATGGCGAGTTGCTTGAGTAGTCGAAGCATAACGACACTTATTTTACGATTATCTACTATTATCCGCAATAATACATATCCCTTTAAAATTTCTCCTTTTTTCTTTATTCTGAGCTAGCTAACCAGCAAACCATTATAACCTCCATCGAGCTTATCTTCAAGGCAAACGCTTCAGACTATACACCTCTCGCCTCTCTCCTGCTGCGCGTATTCACTGCAGAAAAGCCGGACTCAGCCGTTGTTATATCCATCAATCCCAGTGAGGCATTCAACAGCAACCTTCTGGAGATTGCCAGCCGAGCCAGTGGCCAAATGCTGCCTGCAGGAGCTCAGCGTCTCCGCAAATTCGAACTGGAGCTGAGCCCACTCGAGTAAGTTTGGTCAGCTGAATAAGGGCTTGCTTTACACTTACTCAACAAGCCGAGCAAAGGCTACAAAATTTCTGGCAATTCCGTCGACTAAACAAGCTAATCAAATTAAGTATTGTTTTTCGTATCTACCAGTAAATCAGTAATATGAAATGTATTCACCAAATTTCGTTTATGGTAATGAAGGACTGGTAGAAGAAGCATTTTCCCCACAATGATATGAGTTAAGCTGACGTTTCCATTGAATTTCACATAGCCTTGCTTTCCCAAAAATTGTTCTCATCCCGGCTGGAGTGGACTGCAGTCTCGACCTCGCCTCGGTCTTATCAACACCCTCAGCGGGAGTCGAACCGCGGCAGTGCAGGATGGAAGCTTGACACGCTAACAACTCGGCTAAACTGCTACGAGGGCAAATGTGAATTTTCAAGGCCTTTTTGCCATATCATATTAATTTGGTGGAATTGTCCATGAAGCAAACGTATATCTGCTATTACAATCGACTACTACACTTTATTTTTCGAATTTAGTATTGTTTTTCCTGAAATTCAATGGAAACGTCAGCTCGACTCATATCATTGTTGGAAAATTCTTCTTCTACCAGTCTTTCATCACCCTAAATGAAATTGGGTGAATACAGCTCATAAGCTAATCAAAGAATGAATAATATTAAACTTCATTAATTTTGTTTATCTTTTACTCCTAATTTTCCTATTTATTTGCAAGTTATTTAGCTATGCACATAGGCGTTAGATATAGAGGATAAATATATACATATCTAAGGTAGATGATAGGAAATGTATACAGAACAAAATAAATGGCTTTATTTTAATTTTAGCCGAATGAAAATCGGGATCTTTACAGGTGAAGGTGAAGTAGAGGCACAAGTTAGAATAGGTGTTGAAGTGGCTTTGGACGCTAAGTGAAGTGAAAAAAGCTCTATAGTACACGACTATGTATATTTATGGAACTCTTCATTTTATGAGAACTAAGTGTAGATCTTCCACTGGAAGAATACGCTGCTGTAATTTAAATCTATTGGTAGGAAGAGTTGGTTTTGTTGGGACATGGCGCTTAATATTTGGCCTACCGGTTCATGGAGGACTAAACATCGAGATTTTCCGCAGTCGATCTGTTGAGGTGAGAAGCAGTTGTGTGAGCTAGATGG